TGTTCATTGCAGCATGATTCACAGTAGCCAAGATATGGAAACAACTTAAGTGTTTCTGGATGAATGAATGGATAAAGATAATTTATTAAATATATTGCAATGGAATACTATTTAGCCTTAACAAAGAAGGAAATCCTGCCACTTGTGACAACATGGATGGACCTAGACGTCATTGTGCTAAGTGAAATAAGCCAAGCGTCAAAAGACACTTACTGCATGATCTCACTTATATGTGGAACCTAAAAACTCAAACCCATAGAAACATAGAACAGTCATTGCCGGGGAATAAAGGGTGGGGGAAATGGGAAGATGCTGGTCAAAGAATCAAATGTTGTTTTAGTTTTATGCATGAGGAAGTGATCTGAGGAGCTTAAATCAGGACTCAAGGTCAAGGTCAAGGTCAGCTCCTGGGGATCGAAAGCTGGAGGAGAATTAGCCATTGATGGTGGCAGGACATTGAGTTTTTTCTGCCTTTCATCTTGTTGCCTCAACCTTCTTATCTAGCAACCCTAATCTGATTTGGCCAACAACTGATGAGGAAAAAACCCCCAAGAATTCAGCTATAAACATCTTCAGTTATTGATTTTCAATTATGTTTTTCAGTTTGACTTGTTCTCAGGTATCTTATGAAATTAGCTCAGTATGTTTTCTTTTGCTACACCTTTGCTAATTTACCCATTGTTAAAGTTCAGGCCCACGGCATCACATTGACCAGAATATATTATTTCAGAAATTAAGGAGAAACAAATAATATTATTTTAGAAAATAAGACTTTAGCTTTTGATGTCTGGTAGAATTGCATTGAAGTCACTTGGGAAGAATATGTAATTGACCTTTAACTGTTATTTTCAAAATATTTGTTTCAAACTTAAAAAAATAGATCATTACTATTTAAAAATTGGAAAGGGACATCAGAAGACTTGCTCTAACGCCAGGGAGTAGGGGAGTTAGTTTCTTTAGTTGTGGAGAGACGTAACTGGATAAAATTTTTTACATCACTATTTTTCATTTGCTGCATTTCGATCTGTATTAGCTTGTTCTCACACTGCTATAAAGAACGACCTGAGACTGGGTAATTTATGAAGAAAAGAGGTTTAACTGACTCACAGTTCCACAGGCTATACAGGAAGCATGGCTGAGAGGCCTCAGGAAACTTACACTCATGGCAGAAGGGTGAAGGGGAAGCAAGCACCTTCTTCACACGGTGGCAGGAGAGAGAGAGAGAGAGAGAGAGAAGTGGGAAGCGCTACACGCTTTCAAACAACCATATCTTGTGAAAACTCTATCACGAGACAGACAGCACCAAGGGGATGGTGCTAAACCATTAGAAACCATCTCCATGGTCCAGTCACTTCCCACCAGGCCCCTCCTTCAACACATGGGGATTACAATTCAACATGAGATTTGGGTGGGGACACAGAGCCAAACCATATCAAGATCCAATTCTTTGGAGTCACATGTTTAAGAGGAATCCAGATTCTCCTCTTACCAATTATTTAATCAAGTGCCTATTCTTAGTTAAAACCCTACCAATGCTAGTTGTTTTAGAGGTTTAAATTTTGCATAAAATTTCCAGATACTTTCATGTATGACTATTCATGACTATTCTGTCAAAAGAAGACGGTAATAATATGGAAGTATGACATCCATATTTTCATTCCACTAATTTTAACAAGCACCTGTTATGTGCAAACTGTCCCCAAACCATGGTAGGGGAAGGTGGGATCCAAAGATGCATCAACTATGGATTCATCCTTAGCAGATCTTTAATCTCATATTGATTACTAGTTATGTGTTGCTTCCCCCTAAAATGTTTTATCAGAATAACAGGCACTGAAACTGAATGAATTCATGTAACATTCATTGTGGATATTTAGGAATAGCAAAATGACTAATAGGTGGACAGCAAGAAGGGAAGGACGTTTTAGAAGTCCAAAGCCTGGATGATCCAATGATGAATGGGTCTCTGAAAAACGGAGATTTGGCTGCACTTAGAACAAGGCCTACAAGGCCTAAGACATCAGCCTATGGAGCTAAAAGAAAAATTGATAGAGACCTCTAATTGCAAGTTGGCGAAGCCACCTAGTGGTT